CATTTACTTTGATTTAATTAAAAACAAACATTTTATTTAACCTAAACGAAGATTTTTCAAGATGTTTTGATTTACTGAAATTATTTTAAAAACCAACAAATAGTCTGGTAGCACTTTATAGACTAACAAAATCTACATGTTTTGTTAGACTATAAAGTGCTACTAGACTATTTGTTGCTTTTTAAGTTTATCCTGTGCAGACTAACTTGGCTACCCCCCTGAAGACTCTGAAATATTTTAATTCTGTTTGGGTTGAACCAAATCTTACTTTGGATTTTTTGAATATGCCAGAGAACAGATCCTCCTTGACTTATGAGATGACCTGAGTTTTGACCAAAGTCATTTGGAGAAGGCCCAATATATTTTAAGTGTTTGCTTTAAGAATTAGGACTTTAGATAAATGCACATTTTTCCCTAAAGATATGGTGCACTTGGATTATACAAAACAAACATTCTCCTGATAAGTCATGGTCTGATGTTTTTGTGAACTTAAGGGAAAACGACTTTTGAAATCTTCTACTAATTAAGAGACGACACAAACCCCTGACTCGCTAGGGCTGAGGATGGGGACTTATCTCAATTTGTATGTTGGGGGGCTGTTCCTTTTAATTTACATTTTCTACTTTCAGGTTTAAGTTGTTGGTGTAATAGGCACCAAATAGAGCCTGAGATCATGATGTTTCTTTGATTTTGACAATGCACATTAGCTATCCTGGAAATGATTGCCACCAATTTATCTGATGCTGCCTTTGCCAATACTGTTACTGAGAGGGAGGGGGAAATTTTGGCTGTCAAAACACATTGCTGAAATCATGGGAGATGGAGGCAAGATCCTAACATCTAGGGACAAGCTATTTATTCCTGCTTGTCCAAAGTCAGCTTCCACTGGATAATCCAACTCTACACCCCCCTATTACATCTAGTAATAACAGAATGTCTCTTCTCCCATCCCACCCCCTTTTATCTCATCTACCCTTTGTTTGTATGTGTTGAAGGATATTGATTAAACTAAACCACAACTTTGGGAGCAAGTTGAAAATATTTGATTGTCGCCTATTTAATTGGCTCATGATAGCCATACTAACATTACCACTGTAATTTCTAAAGGCTATAAGGCTATGCCTACTCTGCAATTAAACACCTGCGGCTGGTCCATGTCAGCTGATTTACACTCCTGGGGTTCAGAGTAGGGAGACTGTTTAATTGCAGAGTAGATATTTTGGTTTGGGTAGCAGCCCAAGATCTGCAACCTGCAAGAGGGAAGGGCCTCAGAGCTTGGCTAAATAACTACCTAGTCCAAGTCACCTGACAGCAGCCAGCTGTAGGGGTTTAATTGCAGCACACATACAAAATCAGATTTCTCTCTTAGGTAAGCTGCTTTTCCTCGTAGAACACTCTCAATGCAAGTAAAAAGACGTACACCAAGTGTAGTCACTGAAAAGTTAAAGCTCAAGATCATTGTAAAGATCTCTCAATCACCATCAGGCGTAATGTAATATTAAAATAATCCCATAACCATGGTAATCCAAGCTTTGGTATCACTTAAACTGAAAATGACAAATGTTACGTATCACAGATGTAGACTAAGACACAGATGGTAGCAGAACACTTCCCTCAGCCGTCACTACAGAAGAACGAGCGGGGGTACACCTGGTTAATTTCACATGAAAAATCATCACTTGCCACAGTGCAAATTGTTTAGATATCTTTGGATTGGTAAACATGGTGACGTTTCTCAGCAAACATCCCACACCTCTTATAAACTATCAATCTGCTAGGGCATACCTGACCTCCTCTTCACAGTTGAAAAGATGTTTAATGAATCACGAAAATGTGTGCTTTAGTAAATTTCACCTGTCTAAAATGAAAAATGTGATATACAAGAAGTTTGGTGTATATACACATTAGCCTTTTAATCTGAATGTTTAATCATGTATTAATTCTTTTGCTCAGTGTTTTTTGCTCTGGTTTAAAAAAAAAAGAGTGAGGGGACTTTCAGCAGAGTATTCAAGACACTGAAAGGGACACGTGTGAAAGCCGAGTCACCTTTGAAAAATAACTCAGGAGTTAAATCAAAGTGCTGCTTAGGGTTCAATCCTGTTTTACACAACAACTTGCTTATCTTATAAAAGCAACAATTACTTTGAAAATAACTAGTCATTGCACTATAGTCTCTCCCCTTACTGCCAGGATTCATGACTGCGAAAGTGATCAAAGAAAGGTACAAATCTGAAAACTATGCACTGGGAGCAAGACTGCTTTCAAGAGTACATTACCCTAGAACTATTTTTCCCCCCTTCTGGAGCCCTCCTAATTTGGAATCTGAATCTATTGGACCTACACAAAAAATACCTCTGTTACAGCTAGTTTTTAGTATGGCTCCTTTTTTTGCACCCACAGATTGCGGACAACACTGGTGTCACGGATTAGATGTATAAATCCCTGACAGTCAGTTTCTTAAAATTCTAGCTGTACTTAGTGTTGCAGGTTCAAGGAAATGAGGTTTACTGGGCACCTATTTAAAATCATGCCTAGATCTATGCCATTTTGCAGAAGAGAAATAGCAATGGTATGGGACACTGCTCTGCTAGGTACATGAGCTAAAACACCAGCTTTGCCTCTCTTAATGGAATTGCTCTATACAATAGGAAAAAAACCTAGCTTTTTGCATACAGAAAATGAACAGATCTTACATATGCATATGCAATGAACATACCTTATTCTTGATCATTTTTTCCCTATTCGCTAAAGCTTCATTTACACAGCATAGTAGCCACTACTACTCCTAGTGGGTCCAGTTTGGTAACCTTTGGAACTGGAAGAGGGAACCTCCGCTCCCCTGAGCATAACTATTTTTCTGTCTCCTCCGAGCATAACTATCCTTGCTGTCTCCCTTCTCTTCTTAACATACCCTAGATTAGGAATTAAATATTAGAGCATTTCTGATGTAGAACCCCGCTCTGGGTTCACTGGGTATCAATGACCCTTTCCTTCAATTCTCTCATCATACTTATTAAACCAATTAAGCAAGGAAAATCTTTCCCCTCTACTTCTTCCTCAAATTAAGCTCTTCACACCCATAAGTGTTATATTGGTTATTTTCAAGTTACTAGTATTACCAGAACAGCTTCATCCCCTTTAGATGAAATAGTCCCATCACTTGAGTTTTACAGACCACTAATAAAGACACCCTGAATCTTTAAACAAATCTGTTATTATTGGGCATTTTAACTACTAGGTATTTAAATATTTAGCATCTCATAGTGCATCAGGGGAGTCATAGATTTATGTAGTTCAGTGTACAGAGTATAAAAGCCTTGTTAGTATATTTTATCTCATGCATCTTTACAGCCATGTAGGTGCAATCCTGGCTCCTGTAAAAAGCTCCAGTAATGGGCCTAACCACAAAAGCTATGGGAGGGTCTGAAACTGCTTTCTCTTCCGCTAAGTCAGAATATAAAAAATGCTGTTCTGTAACCTGCCACACATTGGCTGTAGTAGACTGCAGGAGACACATGCAAGATAGGGTAAGAGCAGTCAAGCCACATAGTTGCACATCCACCAGCAATGACACCAAAGCATTATTCTACATTCTACATGATAAACCTTTCCAAAGCATAACTTAACATATGCAGATGCTTACACTCATGTGTAGAGAAATACCACTAGTCTCGCTGCCTTTTCAGCAGTGTATGCCTATTGAGGGAGAGCAGGATGGGATTTTGGTGTAAGGAAGTTGATTAAAACCAAAAATTCCAAACACCACCAGTCAGTCGCTTAACTAGCTTCATCAGTAACAGCAAAATTATCCACTAACCTTCAGGAGAAGGATGAGAGTTTAACATGCTAAGAAAGTAGAGTATTATCACCTTATGCTGCAAGCAAATATTTTCGAAGTATTTACTGCATTAAACTAGGTCTTTAATAAGTTACAGAATTTCAGAACTTCTGAATACACTGGTAAAGGTAGTGCACATTTGTTGAAAAATGTAATTTTAATTAAATAGTCAGGACAAGAAAATAGAGGGCCATCACACCAGAGAAAAATTAAACATTTTCCACGTGCCACTATTATCTTCCCAGTGTTATAGTAAAAGATAACATTCAGTTTCTGGGCTGCAACATCACCCTCACTGCCAGATGTTGGTCATGTTCATGGTGTGTGAGAGAGGGAGAAGAGGGGAGAGAAAGAGATGAGGAATAAGGAGGACTCTGTTTAAACAAACATGGATACTCAGCAGAAACAACAAGTTAAAAAGAATCTCACAATTTACATTTAAACTGAATTCTATTTAATAGATTCACTTGTTTCAGATGCAGAAATGCTCCTTAAAACTAAATAATTAAACGTGGCCCTCTTGCAAGATTTGTGGTTCCTGTAACCAGATACTTTTCCATTTACATTGCAAAGATCACCCTCAAAGGCCCAATTCTACAAAGCACTGAGTATTTTGAACTCCCACAGATTTCAGAAACAGCAGGGAAGAGTCAGAATCTTGTGGAATAAAGCCTTAATTACCTCCCTCTTAAATTTTTACTTTATTTATATATACACCTGCCTCTAATTTCCAATCCAATTCATCGGATGGACTGTGTTTTACACATTAAAGTTTATGCCCTAATAAATAGGATCTGAAGAACATGATCTGAAGAAGTGGGTCTGCCCCACAAAAGCTCATCACCTAATAAAATTGTTAGTCTTTAAAGTGCTACATATTTTTTCCTTTTGTTTCACCAAGGTCAGACTAACACGGCTACCTTTCTATTAATAATAAATCTGTTAGTCTCTAAGGTGCCACAGGACTCCTCGTTGTTCTCCCTCTTTAGAGAAACTTTAGTGCTGAAGTAGATTCAGTTGCCCTGGCTGAGTTTTGAAGACCTATTTCATATCTAATATGTTGACATAACCTCTTTACATCTTACTTTTGTAACTATAGATTTTAAGCATAAAACAAATTACTGTAATCTGAATATTGATAGCTGAAAAGAAGCCATCTTACCTTAGAGCATCAAAGCTGTCATATGATCCAACTGTGTAGTGCCTAAATAATTTTTTTGTTCTATCCGTTCGAGTTTCTGCATAAAGATGGAAAATACAAAAGAAGGATTTAATACTTCTATATTTACAGAAGGAAAAATAATCTATTGCTCTTCTCTCCTGCAATTTGAAAACAAGTATTTTTTCTCGGTCTTATATAAAAATAAACCATCAGTGCCTCAGAAAGTATTAATATTGTCTCAAGTGTTTCAGGTGAGGAAAATGTTAATTTTCGAATAGATAAAAATATAGATATTCTACACTCACTTTCTTGCTTTTACTGTCTGTCACACACACACACACACACACACACACACACACACCACAAGATTAGCAGTAAGTTTTCTTCGAATACATCACTTACAAATAAAAATTCTCCTTACTCAAAGATTTGATGTTCCAAGTTACTTGATGAAGCAGTTATCATCATCTGGTAACTCCTGACAACCAATCTTAATTTGATTTTTTTCCTAGATTGGACTAAAAATACCAACCCCTTTTTAGTAGCAGTTGTAACAAGAAGAATGAAAAATACATTTTTGGACTTTGAGGTCCCAATCAAAATCATCTGAATAATTCATTATGCTAAAAAAAAAATTATGCTAAAAAACACGAGATACATGTGTTCTCATCCATCGTTGCCAAACAAATCACACAAGAAAACCTTGGTGTGAAATTTGTACCCCCTTTATATCCATAAAAGGAACAATATTGTTGGAATGCAAAAGGGATAAAGCATAGCAATATGCCAAAAAGCCATTTGACAAGTCAGCCATGTTACAGCTTGGGAGACCCCTTTGTGGAAAACATAAAACCTACAGAAGGGGTGGCAGCAGCAAACTCATCTGCAGGATGACAAACTCTTTTCAAATAAATCCCCCATTCACTTTTCCAGAGCCTATCACCACATCAACATTAAATCAATATTAATAAGAGTTTAAGTGAAGGTTTAAATTTAGCATCACACGTAGATAATAATGTGCAGTTATTCTCTGAAGACGTACAGCAAAACCTATCAATAAAAAGGAGTTTAAAAATATACCAGGAACAAACAGAATCCCAACACCAATACTGGTCCATAACTAGATGGAAATGGTGGAATAATTATCAGTTATAATGCAAAAAAAAAGGGAGAGATGCATTAAATAATTTATTTCTGTTCTGCAGTTGGGAAAAAATGATAGGATAGCATTATCTCAGAAGAATACTAAATAGCAGCTACAGGAGGACCTCTCTGGTCCATCACCCTTGGGATCTGAGAGGCCCTGAACTACGGCGTTTACTGGACCAGGGGAGGTCAAGGCTCCCTTCTTGGCTGTCAGCCTGGTTCCCCCGCTGGCTCCTCCATCCCCAGCTCTGGCCAGGCTGTACTTGTCAGGGGAAGGGCCTGTGCTCCCCACCATGCTGGGGAAGCCAGGCCCCACTGTCTCCAGCCCAGCCAGGGACACGCTCCCCACTGAGCTGTACCGGTCCTGGCAGGGGCTGAACTCCTGGGCACTGCTGCCTCCAGCTTGGGTGGGGCTGTGCTCCCTGCTGTGTTGACTTGGCCAGGGCTACACTTCCAGGCATTGGCCCCACTGCCTGCAGCCTCAGCGGAGGGCTCTCCTCTCCACCACATCGGCCCGTTGCTACTCTGCACTGCCCAGCTGCAGCCCAGCCCTTGAACCTGGCTTTCCTTTCCACCACATCGGCCCGTTGCTACTGCGCTCCCCAGCTGCAGCCCAGCCCTTTGATCCAGCAATATCTGTGGTCCTGCCAGACCATGGATGTTGCCGGACAAGAGAGTCCCAGATTTTAGAGGTGCAACCAGTACTAATGTCAGTCACTTTAAAAATCAACAAGTCTGTATATCTTGCACTCAAAGTTTCTTAAAGAGCTAGCTTAGAAGCTTGCTGGACCATTAAGGTTGATGTTCAATATGTCTTAGAGCTCTGCAGAAGTTCTAGGAAAACTGAGGGGGAAAGCCGATATTTTAAAAGAATAAATGGGATGACCAGTTAATTATTGGCAGGCTGACAGGCCTTTGAGCCAAGGCAAGATTACTGAGTGGCTCACAAAAGATTCCAAAATGAAAGGAGAGTAATTAATGTCAATTAACATAGGTTTATGGAAAATAGTTCCTGTCAACTTAACTTGATTTTTATGAGATTACACATTTGTTAGATAAAATTAACCTTGTTGATGTGATATAGTTAGACTTCTGTAAAGCATTTGACTTGGAACCACACAACATTTTGATTAAAACGCTTACATATAAAATCAACATGACACCCATGAAATGGATTAAAAATTGGCTAACTTATAGCTCTTAAAATACAATTGTACATGGAAAATCATCAAGTGGATGTGTTTCTAGTGGGGCCCCCCAGGGATTGATTCTTGGCCACATACTATTTTAGGTTTTCTTCCTGTTCACAGATAAAAACATAAAATGTCTGACAAAGTTTGCAGATGATGCAAAAATTGAGGGAGTGCCACAAATCAAGAGGACAGGTCACTGATGCAGAGCAATCCGAACGATTTGGGAAGCCAGCTCAAGCAATCAATATACATTTAGCTGTATTAAAATGCAAATATATACACCTAGGAACTAAGAATAGAGGCCCTGTTTACAGGTTGGCAGACTGCATCCTGAGAAACAGCGACTCTGAAAAAGATTTGGGGATCACGGTGGATAATTAGCTGAACATGACCTCCTAATGGGATGTTGTGGCCAAAAGGGCCAACACAATCCTTAGATGTGTAAACAGGGGAATCTTGAGTAGGAGTAGAGAGGTCATTTTACCTCTAATGTTTCAGATTGTAGTGACTGCTGCTGGAATACTGTGTCCAAATGAGAGCCATGAGACTGACAGAAGGATTAGAAAACATGCCTTACAGTGACAGACTCAAAGAGCTCAATCTATTTGGGTTAACAAAGAGATGATTAAGGGGTGATTTAGTTATAGGCTATAAATTCCTACATAGGGAACAAATATTTAGTAACAGGTTCTTCACTCTAACAGAGGAAGGTACAGCACAATCCAATAGCTGGAAACTGAAGCTAGACAAATTCAGACTGGAAATAAGGTGTACATTTTTGAGAGAGGTTAACTGTAAATTGTCCCAATAGTTAAGTATCATGACAGATTCTACATCACTGATCATTTAAAATCAAGTTTTTTTTTTAATATCAGATACGTTCTAGGAATTATTTTGTGCAAGTTCTCTGGCTGGTGTTATACAGGAGATCTAACTTGATCACAATGATCCACTCTCTGACCATGGAATCTATGAATCTATCACCATTTTTGGGTCTGAAGTCACATGTGGTCCAAAAGGAAGTCTCAGATTTAAGTGCTAAGCCAGGGATCCTGCAAAAGTATCAACAAGCCACACCTGCAAAAGAGCTACAGAGATTCCCTGATGCCTCCACCGGTTAGTTTCTTTCTAACTGAACACAAACAACAAAATATTTTAAAACTACCAGAATATGGTGTTAGGCAACTCAACTTTGTAGACAGGATATTGGTAAGTGGTCATCTGTTTCCATATTTATTTTCAGAAAACAAAAATATCCTTATACATTTAATTTTTAATCTTCCAAAATATTCACAACTCTTGGAGACTACAAAAGTTAAGGCAGTCTCTAAAATGATCTAGAGAATGATGCAACCTCTTCTCCTACCTCATGCAGAACAATGGTAACTGTTTTTTATGGGTTCTATTCAACAGAGCTGGGTCATTTACTCCTGAATACAAAGGCCAGTGTGAGAGTCTGTAGGCAAATCAGCATAATCTACCAAAAATCATGTCATAGAATGACTGTCATTTGGAACAGGATGGCATTTTGAGATATCAAAGAGCAACTTTAAAGTATCCAGCATGGTTATCTCCAGAATATACTGGAATAGGTGTCAATTACAAATAAGCCAAATCTCTCGGGCATGAAATATTTTTGCATGAATTCCAGTCAATACAGTTTGGTGATAGGGGAAGAGGACTGGGGAGGGAAGAGATGACACAGGATTCCCTAAAATTGTCCACCACATTACAGTGACTTGATAATCTCTCCCCCAAAAATCAATAAAGAGTTTTTGTATATCTTGAGCCCACCAAGTCCTCAGCTCACTAATGTTGCGTCATATAACCCACAGTCCTAGAAGTTAACCACTAGATGGTGTCCCCTTTTCAAGGAAGATTGTCCTTGATATTTGTGATCATTTAATGTACTAGATTTGAGAACAAAAAGACTGTTTATTTAGGCTCTGCTTCAGCACCATGTTTTAGAGAGTTTGTGCCTCAGAGTCTATTTATTCAAGAACTCCTCCTAAACGGTAAGAGCTAGGACAACCAAATTTGGTATGCAGCTTCCTCTTATCATAACTTAAAGCAAGGTCAGGGTTCGGTTGTGCCAGGAAAATGTGAAGTGCCTGGAATGGGACTGTCTTCTATAATATAGGAAGGGAGGGTATTGATTGAAAGAACAGCTATACTACAAAGTGACCATTTGGGGCAGCGAGCATGGGGGGCAACTGTACTACAGAGTATAGTTCACACTAGTAAGAGAGTGGCAAGCTGGAGCTGGTGCTTTGCATGTTGCTGGCCAACAGTGCTGGTTGGGAGGGAGCCCTTCTGCCTACCAGTCCTGTGGCTGTACCACATCTCCGCACTGGACCATTCTGGGGCTGAGCAATGCAGCCTCTCCCCACCCCCAGGAGATGTTAGGGCCAGAAACACCAGCCCACTCCAGCTCCCCCAGAGTGTGTCACTTTCGCCACCACAGGTGGCCTCCATAAGTCCCCACACATTCCAACCCCTGCCACGAGCTCCTAGTCTCCTGCCCTGATTCCTATCATCCTTGTCCAAAGCCCTACCAATACCAGCCACCTACCCTGAGCCCTCCACATTAAACCCTGTGCCCCAGACCCTCTACCTTCACGCCTGCACTCCCACCCCTGCCCTGACCCCCTGCCTTGATTTTGATACCCCCAACCTCTGACCTGAGCTCTCCCACACCTTCCAGCCACTGCCCTGACTCCTGCATTCCAAACCTCTG